AAAGCTGTGGCTGCATCGAAACTGTGGAACATATCTTGTTCAAGTGTAGAACGTATGCCGATGAGCGTGCGCTTGTTGGAGCTAACACGAGAAAGATCCAGCCCTGACAGCATTCAGTTTTCGAACTGATTTTTTTTTATTATCGCGCTGCACCCGCTGCGCGACCCCATGCCAACTTATTCCTCCTTGACGAGCACCGCATTCTGGGGCACGACTGGGCTCCCCCCCGTAGAGCGAGAGCCATAGGAGTCATCAGAGGAGTCGCCCAGTGGACATGCTTGGATGTGGGCATCCAGATTGAAGATTGAAACCCCGCGGCCGCGCGAGCGGCGATATACGCAGGTTTCAGTCGATCAGCAGCCACGACGTCTTCACAGCCATTGATGTCCAGCGGAAACGTCTTAGGTGTACGATGGAGTACGCGGAATGGGCCATCATAGGCTGGTGTGAGTGATGGTCGTATTTGGTCATGCCGAACGAAGACGTGACGGCAGTCATGCAGATCCTGGCTGACGAAGACAGACTGGGGCTGTAGGTCGGCCGGAATTGCAGGAACAAGGTCCCGAAACGTGGTGCCCAGCTCTCGTACGTGGAGGCATCGTGAGGGGAAGGTGGCGATGATGGCTCGAAGAATTCTCCTGGAAGACGCAGGAAAATGCCTAGGCTAGTTCAGCTGATGAGCAGCCGAGATCCGCTTTCAATGCTGATCGGATGCCCAGAAGTACGAAGGGGAGGTGTTCGAGCCAACGTTTCCTTGGCTGGTGAGCAGTGAGGGCAGCTTTCAGTTGTCGATTAAGCCGTTTAACCATGCCATTGGCGGAAGGATGGTAGGCAGTTGTGTGGATGTGTCGAATGCCCAGGATATTGGCAAGTGCGGTGAAAAGGGCCGATTGGAAATGAGGACCGCGATCAGTGGCGACGACAGAAGGGCATCCAAAGCGCGACACCCAGCCATTTGTGAAAGCCTTGGCAACTGTTGGTGCTGTAATATTGGAAATCGGAAACGCTTCCAGCCACCTGGTGAAGCGATCCACACATGTTAGCAGGTAACAGGCTCCTTGCGATGACGGAAGAGGGCCGGCGATGTCAAGATGGACGTGGGAAAACCTTGCGTCTGGTGGCCAAAAGGGGGATGTTGCCGTGACTGTGTGACTGTGAATTTTAACCCGCTGGCACTCAAGGCAGGTTCGCACCCAGCATCGGACATCAGCATTTATGCTTGGCCAAAGGAAATGAGATGTGACTAGCTTCTGGTTCGCACAAATACAAGGATGACTCATGTTGTGCAATTGATCAAAAATTGCACGATGAAAAGCTGAAGGCACGAGGGCCGAAGGACACCAGTAGACATTTCACACGTTATTATTGAGGTAGAAAATAGAAGCGGGAACTCGGTGAACGATAGAGACGTGGAGGAAGAGCGAAGTCTATGCAGCTCAGGATCGTTGCTTTGGGCAGCTGCTAAGCTCTTGTATGTCTAGTGGTGGCTGGTTCGACAAGGCATCAATGCGAGCTAGTGCATACCGTGAGGAGTTCTAGGGCAAATGTACTGTATTTTGCCTCAGGTGGCTTCAGTTTTTTGCGAGAAAAAAACCAAGGGACTGCCAACCGGATACATACTGCTCGAGAACGGCGCCAACTGCCACGCTTGATGCATCAGTGATGAGACGAATTGGGGCATCAGGGACGGGATCTATGAGCATAGTGGCGTCTGCTAGAGCCTTCTTGGCAGTGTCGAAGGCAGATGCAGTGTCCTCGGTCCACTCCAGTGGCGCAGCCGGGTCTTTCTTTTTAGCCAATCGGTCGATCAAGGGCTTTAGGAATGTGGCACACTTTGGAAGAAAGCGGCGATAGAAGTTTAGTAGGCCCAGAAATCTTCGGAGTCTCTTTAGTGAAGTCGGGGGTAGAAAGTCTTGAATAGCTTTCACTTTGCTGACGCCGAAGAGGCACTTATTGGCTATAATTACAAGGCCGTAATCATCCAGGCGGTGGAACAGGGTGCGCAGGTGGGCTTCATGCTCAGAGCCAAATGAGCTTGCTACAAGGTGATCATCAAGTTAGGCAAATACGAAATGTTGATAGTGTGCTGAAAGGTCTGTGCAGAGTTGCACAATCCAAAAGGCATCCTCCCATATTCAAACAGACCGAATGGGGTGGTGATGGCCGTCTTCGGAATGTCGGCGGGTTCTACAGGAATTTGATGGTAAGCCTTCACTAAGTCAATCTTAGAGAAGATTGTGCACCCAGCCAAATTCGACGTGAAATCCTGTATGTGAGGAAGTGGATAGCAGTCTGGTAACGTGTGGGCATTGAGAGCGCGGTAATCCCCACATGGTCTCTAGTCGCCAGGATCTTTCTTCGGCACCATGTGGAGTGGCGACGCCCAGTTGCTGGAGGAAGGCCGCACAATGCGGAGTTCAAGGATGTGCTCAAATTCACGGTGGGCGATGGCGAGGCATTCTCCAGATAGTCGATGGGGTCGTGTAAAAGCGGGAGGTCCAGTGGTCACAATGTGGTAAGTGATGGAATGCTTCACCGGTGGTTCTCTGGTGTGCGGCTTCATGATGCTGGGAAAGTCGGCGAGTATTTTTGCGTAAGGCGAAGCAGGTGTGAGAGCTCGCAGTCCTGTTGGCGAGGAAGTACAGAGTACACCGTTAGTGGAGAGGTGGGTGTTGAGATCAATGAGGCAATGAGTATGCATGTCCACAGCAAGGTTGAAAAAAACTGAAGAAGTCGGCTCCAAAAACAGCTTGCAAAACGTAACAGCTTGCATCAAGTGTAATAGAGCATTGGCCATATGTGTGAATGGCAGAATTGTTGATCGCTTGGAGTGGGCAGGCCTGTTCATTGCGACTGCGCTCTGCACACGTGGCCGAGATGATGCTAACCTGGGCTCCTGTGTCCACTAGGAAGCAAGTGCCAGTAATCTTATTAGAAACATACAAAAGGCGGCATGATTTTCGACCAGTACCACTTGCCGCCGTTAGTGGCCGGTCGTCACATTTCCCCGACCAGGAGCACGGGCGAGTGCACTTGCCAGCAGAGGCACCGAATTGACGGTGGTACCAGCACACGGTTGAGGATGAGACGTGCCGCGGCGCGTAGGTTGACCAAAGTTCCGGAGAACGGGGGGGCGTCTGGGAGCAACTGTGTATTTGGAACCTGGGTGACAGTCAATGATGCGCAGGTACAAAGTCATCGAGGCACCTGACAAGGGCGTCCAAACGGTTCTCGATGCTTGCAAGTGCAGGGTCTGCAGCGGTGACCAGTGGTGGTGTGGTAACGGCGTTGAGGCTATGTGCCCGCGAGTAGTCCATCACTCAGTCAGCCATTTCAGCGAGTGTGTCTACTGGGACATCTTCTGCAGCTACGAGGACCAGCACCATGCTCTGCGGTAAGCACTGGAGGAAGAACTCGCGTAACAGCTTCTCCTCTTGGGGGGCGGAGGGGCCACCAAAAAGCTGGCGCACGCGTCGCAGGAGCTGTGATGGGCGACGGTCACCGAGCTCTGTAGCCATGATGAGCTGTTGGAGTCTGCTGTGTTCGGACTCAGACTTTCGGGATAGCTGCCTTCAACGTGTTGTAGGGATGGCTCGGGTGCGGCGACGCTAGAATATCAGCTAAGTGGTTGGCTACATCCGGAGGTAAGCAGGACACCAGATGCCAGTACCTGGTCTGTTGGCTGGTGATTTGCGGTAGACGGAAGTGCGCCTCGACCTGCAGAAACCATGTGCTGGGGCTGTTGGGCCAAAATGGTGACAGGTTGACATGGCGAATTGCAGCGACTGCAGCACCGTTAGGTCTGGCGTCTTCTTTGGCGTCAGGACTGGTAGGATTGGTGGAAGAGCAGGTGAGACCCATGCGGGATGATCAGGGCTGTGTGTTCTTTATCGGGTCACCATTAACTGTCGGAGCTAACACGAGGAAGATCCAGCCCTGACAGCGTTCAGTTTTCGAACTTATTTTTTTTTATTATCGCGCTGTACTCTCCTGGACTGTAGCGTCCAGGACTGCAGCGTTTAACGCGCTGCACTGACAATGCAACGCGATGCTCAAGAAGGTGTTTCCAACGCTTTGCATTCTACACCTTATCACCTCCGTCACTGGCGTGCATCTTTCTCCGCGGTCGCGCACGCCTTCGTTTTTGAAGATAACTGCCAGATGGCACTCGCGTCTAACGTGCCTAGATGCGCTTGTTCGCCTTCGCTACACGCTCGGGGCACTCTAACGCAGCACCTTCAGAATACCATTTACTGATTTTCTTGCGCAGAACATCAAATAAACGTTTTGTTCACTCTCTCCAGACGCAAGACTATCGTCTTTCGACGACATTTATAGTTTAACATGTAGATTCGGGCCAATTTTTTCTCTCTCTCTCTCTATCCATACTTTCCATCCCCAATCCTCTTCTCGACACAGAGTAGCAAGTCAGCGATTTATACATGCCAGCTGAATTCTCTGCTTTTCAATCAAGAGTTCTCTCTCGCTCTCAAAATGCAAGTTGCATCTGCAGTTTCGTTTTATCTATTTGTTCATACATTTGTCATTGAGATGCAAGCACTGTCATTGCAAAAAGTTTCTTGTTTACAATGTATATTAACATTGCCAATTTTTGCCATGGAGCACATAGTCCAGAAATGCCAACTGTGCCATAGAAGAGACACCACAGCAGTGAAATACATATTTATTTTTGCACATATTAGGGTGTATGCTTTTGACAAAGGCTGTGTTCTTTGTGAGGAGCGTCAATTCGAAGCAAAAGTGGCCAGAATTAATTATAACTCCCAGTGATCTTTTATGTAGTATATCTAGCATCCTACAAGGGATGCGAAAATGAGGAGAGAATTCAACCTTGTTCTTTGAAGCTCGGGAAGTTTTGCCATTAGAGCCTTTATTCAAGATTCTGTGCTCTGCGTGGTTTTGACAAATGTACTTTTGCAAATGGTACCTCTGCTTACGTCTTAGTGAAATGAAACAAACTTCTTAAAACTTGCCTCTAGATGTGACTGAGGACTGGTTCGACATTGGCAATCTTAAACTTGGGATATTGCCATTCGGTGCCTTGGAAGATCCCATCTCGTAAGTATCTTTTTGTCTTCTACAAATGCATGCTTGTTGCGTGAATAAGAGAGCGGTTCAGCTCCCTTCTTCGAAAGGCAGACATGGAGCAATAAATAAGATTTAACCTAGCATGCCCTCAAATACTTTTATAATTTTTAAAAAGAATTTATACTTATTTTGTAGAGTTTTTAAAATTTTATTTAGTAATACTGGCAATCCCATTAGAAATTCTCACAGGAGCAGTTTTAGAAAATCTAGGAGGGGAGGCGCCACGATTTTTCTTCTGGGGGTGGGGGGGTGGCACCCATGATAAGCGAAATTTAGGCGTTGTGTTTTGACTGTTTGCCCTCAGGAGAAAGGGGTAGTGGGAGTGGGCAGGCAAAAAAAAATTTCATTGGTACCAGTTTGAAGGAGAAAGATAAAGGTAATCACATGAGACATGAAATACGTATCTAACTTCCCCCGTGTTACATCACAAATTTCAAATATACGTATAAGAAGGGCAATGGTAAATGCAGTAGTAATAGCATTACTAATGTGCTGCTGACAGAGTGGTTTGGCCAGCAAGTTTGACCAATTTGTTAGCAATGGGTTTTGTGGCCACCATCTTGGCTAAAGTTTTCCACTCCCAAACAGCCTGTGGAAATAATGAAATACTAAACAAATTGTTGAACGAAAGGAGTGTACTTTTAAGGGCTGTTTTTCTTTGTTAGACACAATAATAATGAGATCTAACCGACAATCATGCCGAGGTAAGGGATGTTATTAGAAGTAATTGTAATGTAAATGTAATCCACACCCACCGTCATGACTTCTGGCGGCACTGACTGATGTTCCCACGTTTAATGCACATATATACTCCATATAGTGGACGGGGAATAGCCGCTGTGGTAGCTCAGTTGGTAGAGCATCGGACGCATTATTCGAAAGTCTCAGGTTCGATTCCTGCCCACAGGAAGTTATCTCTTCCTCCACTTTTTTTTCGCCATTTGCATTACAATTACTTTTAGTAACTTCCCCTATACTTACCTGGCATGATTGTCGGTTAAATCTCATTAATATTGTGTAAACATATTCTTTGCATGAAGGTAATCTTGGAGTGTAAGGGGTTGCTTGTGACAAGTAATAATAAAAATAAATATTTTTTATCTCCACACTGGCTAGAGCAGGGCTATAGACCCTGCCAACAAGAGCTTCCTGACTATTGCCATAATTTCTTCTTCATTTGTATGCAAATGTGTCAGCTCAATAGCACTAGGGACCCATGTCTGACAGTATGCATTCCTGCTATACTTTAGTTCATTTTTCTTGAAATATATATCAAAATCAGTATTTAAAGGCCATATTCTAAGACAATTGCTTTTGGTGAATATGTCACTTTATGTGATCTAACTTGCAAGCCCAGTGACTTCTACAAACCTTTGCCAGCCTTTCCTCAACCACCTAGTTTGTGCACACTGAACATAATATTATGGTGACATTTAAACTCTGAATACGATCCCAGAAATTTTCACGGAGTGGACCTGAAGTTAATTGTGTGACCCCTTTTTGTACTAAATACAATGTCCAAATTACTGCTGAGATTTAATTGCCGGCACTTATATTTTTCTGCATAAGTGTTCTAGCTGGGTGTTCAACCTTCAATCTTCTTACATGTAAAATTATTGGCAAGCATTGATTGTACTTAGTCTTGTTGATTATACTTAGTCCTTTCGCCATAAAAATAAAAAATACTGGGCCAAAAATTAGCAAAGAATTTTATTCCCTCACTTGATAAGAGTTTTTTCTGAATAAAACAGTATCATTCTTTCAATTCACTGGGGTTCCTTTATTTCACTAATCGAATAAAAATACATAATATGAAGATAATTAAAAAGATCCGTAATAAGTATAGTGTATAAAATGGTGATAAAGTGATTTCAGAACATGCAGTTGACAAAGAAAGCACCATTGCTAAATCTCACTAACACAGTGTTTGTGGGCTAGCAGCTACAGTGTCATGCTGCTAAGGGAATGGTGTAGATTCAATTCATGGTTGCGGCAGCTGCATTTCAAAGGGAGAAAAAAGCAAAAACGCCCATCTACTCAAATTTAGCTGTATTTTGAAGATCCCCATATGGTAAACATCAATCCGGAGTCCCTCACTACAGTGTAAGATACTCCACAACTTCATTGATTTCAGCTGTGACAAGGAGGCATGATTTAATGCAAGTAATATTGCTTCTTGATATTCAGGGAAATGCAGCTTTCTGTTACCTGGCCCTCAGTTCCGGAGGATGTTGTTGTGGATAATGATGTCTACAGGCAAGTATATGTAAACTAGGAAAGTGCATATTAATACTTCCGAGCAGCTTTATATTTTTCAACACTTTATTTTCATATATTCATTTCAGTGATCTTCGACCAGAAAATGCTCCCAAGTGGTCAATCCGTATGCGGTGGAAAGAAAACCCTGACTGTCTCATGGGTACATGCATCAATATTTCTAGCTTCACTACCTGCGAGTGGATGTTTGTGTATTAAAGGGGCACTAAAGAGCAAAACGATTTTTCGTGTATTAGTAAAGTACAATTTCATAATCCTGAAAATACCACTCTTATCATGACACGACACTTAGTAAGTGAGAAATCGCGTGAAAAGAAAATGTGGTTGGCAACACCACGTTGAGATTCCTGCAACAAACATTGTGACACAAGAAATTTCAAAGGCGTCATCTGGGTCCTGCATAGCTTGCCATCTATAAAAATGAAGTACATTGTAACGTGTGGGTGCCATAGACTTAGCATACCAAGTTTCAGGAAATTTCATTGAGCCAATTCCACAAAAATACCAAAAATACATTTTGAAATTTATTGCATCATGCAATGAAAATTCAACCTTGATTTTCACCACTAATAACTTATAATAGTGAAACATATGGAATTTGAGTTCTCAGAGTGCAGTTTGTAAATCTAAATGAAGTCATTGTTCCTTTCTCAAAACATGCAAAGGAGACACATACTTGCGACCAGCTTTCAGGTAGTATAGGTGTAAGTTTTCATGTGGCTTCCAGATGACGCTACAGGCTTGTATTACAATAAGTAACTGGAACTGGAAAAGTACCACAACCGTTCTGCCCACTGCCATATTTGGTCCAGCGCGGTTGAAGCTGTGGTGGTGCAGTGATGATTTTATGTGAAATTGCATGTGTTTTACGAAATGCGTGCACTTTTGCAGCCCTGAATAAAGCATACCGTTATTCTCTAAATCACTAGGCAAGAAATAAATGCAGTTTTCACTTTTCATAAGCACACACGCACGTGTACTAAAGCGATGAAAAATATGTGAACCAAGCAGCACAGATGTGCTCCGTGGTAGGCATTCATGTTGAACCTCTTCTAATCTATCTGCTTTAATAAAACTGCTAGAGATGTGCATGTTGCAATTAATGATCTTCTGATGTAAGTGAGAGTGCGATGAAAACAAATGCGAATGGCATACGTGATTGCCGCACTGTTCCCATTTCTTTTGATCACTTCACATGCTAGAATACATTTTGTGTGTGGAGGTGTATAGAAAGACATAAAACTACATGCAGCCATGCACCAGATGTGCTATGACCCATCTGAGATTAATTTTATGCCAGTTTCATCACAGGTGCACACATACTGATGCTTTTTAAGCTGTATTACATTTTTTTTCTCCAAAGTTTTCTTGAGCACCTCCACTTTTTTTTTTTTTGGCAAGAATTCACAAACATTTACTACATTATTGTAGCTTTGTCATGAATCTAATAAAGGAGGACGAAAACTGACAGACACCCTAAACAGCATACACACCTCTTGTCATTCAGGAAATGAGGTCGTCATTTGCTTTCAAGAGCTTTAAAAACAGGCATGCCGTACATATCTTTTTATACAATAAAAATATGCTATAAATGTTCACAAAGAAGTTGGAGCTTGGTGCATGTTGCATTGTGCACATGAAAAAACTAACAATCAAAAGTGAACTTTATAGAAAGTGATTACAATGTAAATGTAGCAACCAGTTTCCCTGGTGCACTTATTTTTATCTGTGATGCCGAAGGCATTAATTTTATGCCAAACATAATAAACATGATAAGAGCTGCCTGGCAATGCTATTGTGCGAAACTCTTTTCCGGCAACCACGCAAAACATGCTGCACTACTATAGGGGCAATGTAAACATTCCCTGAAAGAAGATTCGCAAATACTGAAATTTTTGTCTCGCGAATGTGGGTATCAATTGTGTGAGTAAAATTTCAGCTGCTATATCCTGTGCGGCCGCACGACCTATCACTTGGCGTCCTTTTTCTTGCTCGTAATAGCAAAGACGCATTCTGCCTGCTTATTGTCAGTTGCTGCTTTCAAAAGAGCGCAGCACCTTAGCATTCTTCGATCTCTTGTGTGCCTCGGTTGATCAGTGGCTAGGGTGCTCAGCTGCTGACTCGAAAGTTGCAAGTTTGATGGAGGTGAAATAATAGCGGCCCGGGTACTGTGCGAGGTCAGTGCTTGTTAAAGAAGACCAGATGGTAAAAATTTTCGCAGCCCTCCACTTTGATTTCTCACATAATCATATCATGGTTTTAGAATGTAAAATTCTACATATTAGTATTATCATTATGTTTGATCTCTTGTAAGCTTGTCGACAACAAAGCATCGTAATGATGCTGCAAAGTTTGTGTACGCTTTTTTCAAGCTATAAAAACAGTCTCCCTCCAAAGTACGATGAGTTGGTGGATTGAAGATGCAAGCGGGACGAGTGAGCTGGACCATTTATAGCACGAAATAGCCATGTAACGACAAAAAACTAATGGTGAGCACGCGCGTGAGGGGGGCACAGCAGGAAGCGTGCAGAGGGGAAGAGAATGCATATGTGGTGCCATCTGTTCCAGTCTCTTTAGTATTACTAATAACTTACATATTAGAGAGCCTTCGGACGGCAAGCGTCCTGTAGTGCAGGTGCAGAAAGTGATGGTGACAGGCGTGATATGTTGTAGTGGTTCTGTTCATTCAGGAAACCTAGTAATCACAGAACTTGATGGTCATCCACAATAATGTGTTGTCGTCTCGTTTTTCATTCTGGAAATATAGCCATCAGAATGCTTTTCTTGGAGATGTGGTGCATCGTACTAATAACTTTTCCAATCTGAATTGTTGACCACTGTATTGGAAATTTATGCCAGCGACAATCGCCACCAGTGCTGCTATCCTCCGAACAGGTTTTTATTATTTGTTTTCTAGCATACGTTTCGCTGCGCTAAAATACTTTGAAAATGTCAGTGATATAAGTAGTTTCTGCTCACTCTCTATCACTTTGTGGTTCTTGGGCATCTATTCAGGCACCGCCAGCCATTCCGCACAGCCAAGCAGTAAGGAGAAACCAAGGGCTGTGAAGGCAGACCATAATTCTTTAATGCCTTGTCTTCAAAACAAAGTTTACGTTGTTTGCTAGTGGCAATAAAAAATGTGTTTTCCACATACATGCTTGGCAATAAATACCACTGTCAAATGGCTGACAGTGAGGATTGCAGTATGTTATCATGATCTAGCAGGTGATCTTGTACTGCTGTGTGTTTCATACATAGGCTCGCACCCCTGCTTACTTTGCTGTCATGCCTTTTTGAATGTGCTAAATTATTGCCTTTTGGTTCATTTGTGTCATATGAATTTAGATTTTAAATAAATGGTTGCACACTGGTTGCTTTCTTTCTTCACAAAAAAATATAAGGTTTTTTGTTAGTTTGTTGAGGAATCTATACTGTGTTTATGGCAGCACTTGCACTTAATCTGTGATTCCATTCCGCCTTATGAACTGGTGTGACATAAGCGCAGTGGCCAGCCACAATATTTTTATAGCAGTGTTGATTTTTCAATGTTTCTAGGACATTTATTTTTAAATAGTGTAAAAAAAAGCTCTTAAACAATTTATATTCATTGGTTAGTGCAGTTATTGGGTCAGTGCATAGCAGTGCTCTGTTTCCTGCTTGTTTGTACAATTGTATAGCGAGCTAAAGGACAGTCATTCTATTGACCCTTTTTTTAAAATTTCACATCTTGATGTTCATTTCATTTGTTTACTTTTGTAGAAGAGTACCTGAGGAACTTCTTTGTGGTATGTCAAATGACAGATACACTCGACGATGTGCTCAAGATTATGGTTCAGACGGAAGACTTCTCTGGTAATGCTTGTTCTCGTTGTGCTTTCTTTAGTTAACACCCTTGCATGGTACTTCATTTCTTGTCCGCATGTTACTTGGATAAATCATTTCCATGAATGCGGGTTATATATTTCAGGTACACCTGGAAAGTTTGAGCTGTGGAGGGCAGTTTACCATATCTAAATCATTTAGTTCATTTTTTGCATTATTTACATAAATGCTGTTCAACTTTTGTAAACTATGCTTTCTCATGTTGGCCTTTGATATGTTACTTTTTTTGGGGAAATTTGGTGCCTTACTTGTGCTTCTAGAAGGCGCAGAGAAAGAAATTCAGTGCAAGAATTATGTTTCAATTCTAAAGGCAAAAAAATGAAAGTTCTATCTAATACAGCCTTTTTTTAAAACAAAAAATACATGGTTTGCTTCAAATGGGTGCTGTGTACCAATACTACTCAATTTAAGCTGATAAAGCATTTATTCAGAACTGTTTTCATTTATTTTGTTGAAAAAAAAAAAAGTTGATAGCTAACAAAGAATAAGCTCAAATGGACACTGAAGAGGAAAGCAATATTTGTTTTGTACATCTAAATTACCTTTTCCCAGTGCCAAATTAAGAGCAGTACTCTTGTCGCTTGTTAAGTGAGAAAACGTGCAATAAGTAAATGTTGGTGGTGACAAGCCACTGTTTAACAGAATGTATGGGAATCCAAGGCCTGGTCACCTAGCCAACTTGGACATGTTTCCAACACATTCCCACGCAGTCTGCTGAACAGGGACTTAGTGACACTGTGTCAACATTGTGCAAATGTGCCAGGCATCAAAGCATGCAAAAAAAAAGTGTTCTACATTAAGCCTCATGGCTGCGGCCAGCACTGGTTAACACTTCCAGGATTACATAAAAACATACATACCCATTAAAGTAAATGGAAAAGCAATCACTGCTGTAGCTCATTTGGTAGAACATAAGATGCGTTATCTGAAGGTTGTACGTTCCATCTCTACCTATCAAAAGTTGACTTTTCATCCACTTCAATTCCCTTTTATTTATATCATAATTACTATACTACAGCTAAAACCTACAAATAATTTCTCCTCTTCCTTCCTTAGCTTCATTATCTGATCGCTTCGTTAGACTGTGTCTAACAAAGAATTGAGCCATCAACGGGGTTCATACAGGCCCTTGAAAACCTTGAAGATCCTTGAATTTAAATGTATGATTTAAACTCCTTTAAAAGTAAAAGTCCTAGAGTTATATGTTGTCCTTGAAAATTCTTGAATTTTGGGATCAGTGCAATCTAAAGTATATGTTGCAACCTGCTTTATTAGTGTCGATGCGGCAAACCTTTCATTCCATTAATAACACACTGTGTGAGTTTGCGTGTATTCTCCTTGTTCATGCCTTGTCCTATTGTTCATTTCCTTCCTCACCCATCAGTTCATCTAGTCTCACTTTCTCTCCCTTTACTTCTCTCCCTAATACTTCACTGTTGTCTCCTGTATTTATGTTGCTTTTTTCTCTGTCAAGCGAGCAGTGAATGTGGCTAGTACATTGTAACTATGTCAAGCCTTGCTAATACTAGAAAACTCTCAACACCTATCATGAACATTGGGAAGTACTTTACCATGGCATCAAGGCTAGACTTTCTTATAGTATAATAATACCGTTAAGCTCGATCTAACAAAGCCAGACTTTATGTAGTTCCCTATCCAAGGCAGAAATTAGCATTCCCCAACAGGCACTCATAGGGTCGAAGGTTGTTAAATGGAACTAAAGAATCTAGCTTGGAGCCATAACAGATTTAGCAATGTTTAAAAAAATTAATTACTACAAAGAAGCACTAATTTGTTTCTATTTTTTTTTTACACTGATGGTTTTCCTAAGGCACTTGCACTAACGCTTTTGTGTTAAAACATCTGTCTCCTATTGTCACGAGCCTCGTTTTATATTGACAAAGCTAGACACCACCCTCATGTATGGAACAGTGGACTCAACAGATGCGCTGTTACGTACCACATGGTACTATGGGTGGCAGTTGTTCATCTCAATACTCCCGTAGGAACACTACTGTGTGCTTCTGTTGTTTCATGATTTATGTAACAAATTACACTGATGGTTTCTTCCCAACTTTCTCACTCGCCCTGCTCGCATAATCACTGTGTTTGTTCTCCCTTTCATTGCATTTCTGCTGTATGTCATATTTCATGTGAGTGTCAATTTGGCCTGCATCGCTTGGACTGCATAAATGAGGCTCTATGTTCGATAAACTAAGACACTTTTCACGTGAGCACGAGGGGTCTAGATGCAAAAGTAATGTCGCGGTAAATTTTAGGTGTCTTTGTATGACAATTTTAGGTTTCGAAGGACTGAAAAACGGCTTCCTTGAATTTAGAAACTTCCCAATTCTACAAAATAATTTGTGCATAATGATTACTTTTTTAAACAGAGTTTCAACTGTTTATGTAAAAGCAGTAAATTTAGTACAAATTTGAAACATTGTTATTGTAAAAAATTTGCTTATTTGAATGCCACTTTTTAGTGCATGAAATGTGTGTGACATGCCCCTGAATATTCTTGAATTTTCTGCTTTGAAACCTGTAGGAATCATGCATTGATTAACTCTCTGTTTTGTTCACTTTAAGCTAAGCAATGTACAAGCTTAAATAACCCATGGAGCTTCAGAAGCCATTCATACAGTTTGTGCTGCATTATCCCTCATTAGTTGGCACCAGCTATTTTTAAAATCATGCGGTGTAATGTAATTAAAACATCCCGCCAAGCATTTAAAACATTCTGCTGGCTTGTTCAAACAATGAACAGATGAGATTGCATTGTGTGTGCATTTAGGTAGGAATTTGCACAATTTTTCTACCACTTTTTTTAGCCAAGGCTGAAATACTTGATGCATTGGATCGACTGGCACAGCCCAATGCTCTGCCTTTTCGACTGCCTCAGCTGCCTCAGCCGGAGGTCTCCCTAGAAAGCCCACGTAACATGCTTCTACAAAATCAAGAACTGCTCATTGAAATTCTGGGCTATGTATTCTTGTCTTCAGATGCCACTCCTCAAGAAAAGGTAGTACAGCACTGTGTCTCTCCTCTTCGCTAGGTCCAATTGTTGTTCTCTTTGTTCCACTTTGTTGTGTTTATACATTCATGAGCTGACTGATCTCTTGAGCTTAGTTTAATTTTTTCTTAATTTATTATTCGAAGAACATTGAACTAACTAACTTGTTGGCCAGATTTCTTTTTCAAATCTGAATATTTCTATGTAGGTAAGTGCAGTTATAAAAAATAAAACTAAAGGCCAAGTTTGCGTGTTCAATTTTGCATCCATGCTACATCGTCCATCAAATTGTGTAGGGGGTGCTGGCCTATGATGTGAATTTAATGCTAATCAGTTTCTCCTACTTTACGCAGGAAGAGGTCAGTAAAGCTGCCAGGTTTATTGCGGGTTTGGTTTCAAATGCAATATACAATTTTTCCTCAATAACAAGTATAATTTATGAGCATCGTTGGTGACTAATTGACTAATTATTACATCAGTGATAACCAGAGTGGGAATTTCAGCTTGGTGCCAATGGGCTCAAAAGGGCTGTCTCTTTCAACGATATAGTGTTTCCTCTACCAGCATCAAGCACAATTCAAAAGGTGGAACATTATATGGTCGTGCTTTGTGTGCAATAATTATTTTTTTATGGAATGAGCAGGTGCAGGTTAGAGTGTGCTATCTTTTTGTCTGAGTTTGTTAATTAAGAAAGTGACAGCAGGAACGATATTTATGGGCCTAATTTAGATGTGTATTGGAATTCCAATAAGTGCAACATCAGCAAAACCCAGCAAGAAAAAAAATTACTGCAAGAGTTGCAGTCTTCCCCAGTGTTCTGCATCAAGGAACTCCTTTGCCATGTGGCATGCACAGCTAGTGTGCTTCTAGTTAATCTTTCATTGTGGGGCATTGTTCATATTTGAAATTTGTACTTTTTCACAGATAGCGACTGTTACAAAGTGAAATGTTATGGTTTACTATATCTTTTTCATTTTTACTATATATTTCTCATTTTTCTCCCTTTAATTATGAACACATCTTAAAAAATAAGTTTTTTATCAATGTCATTGTTCTGTATGATTTCTGGCAAATGAAATTTCGTGTTGTCATGCAGGACTCATTGATAAATATTGGGTGACTGAAAGGTACATCTTTGTGTGTGCATGCTCATGTGCATGTGTGTTGCACTACTTCTGAGTGATAGTTTCTTTAGAAAATAGTCTAGTGTAACTTATAAAAAAGTAACCTTAATTAACGTCTCAGAATTATGGATAGAGAGAACGAGCTTAGTTTGTGCAACAGATGCTTTGAAAGATACGTCATTCTTTGTGTTACATTAGTTAGCAGTAGCTTCCAGCGGGGCACAACCAAGGGGGGTGGGGGTTGAAAATCCCCTCCAAAATTTTTTGAATTTTTCTTGAGTACACATACAAACATACATAAAAATGCAGGCATTAACATACATAAAGTATAATTTAAACTCCCCCTCCCCCCTCTGAAAAAAAAATCTGAATACACCCCTTCCTGTAGTATGTCACAAATCCATTGAAAAGAGGGATTAAAGTGATAAATTCCGATAAATATTTGCTCATCTCGCACATATATTAGCCTAAACACTTTGTTTTACTCTGAGTCACTACAGTTTGTGCAGATCCTGAGTACCGTTTCCATTATTTTGTTTAGTTGCCTGCACATTAATTTACTCTATAGCCTCTGCAGCTCTTCAAGGGACACTAAATTCAAATTACAATTTACATCAGAGTGAAAGCTCAATGTATGACAATGTGTAAAATGACAATATTATCAGCAGCAGTTCCCTACTTACCGACAAATTAAGGTAAATGCACAAGGATACATGCGCCGCAGTAGGACATTCTCAAAATGATCCAGATGTCAGATGAACCACCTACAATTAATCACTAGTAATCGATCTAGCTGCACTAAATAAACAACCTTCTGTGCATCAAGAGACATAATCAAATGATGCTTGTTCGTTTCCGTTTGATTCATGGAAAAAATGAACCCCCGGACGTTACTATGGGGAATGGCGCAAATGGTTTGAAAATTCAATTTTCGCGTGGTCGAACTGGGCAGGTCGTGCCATCTAGTGGGCACCAAGCATGCCTGAAATTTTGAAGGCCATGGCCAAAAATTATTCAATAGCTATTGTTCCTGCTGTAGCTCCCGCTACTGTCCCTCTGCTGCTACTATAGTGTCGGCGGCCGCGCATGAAAGCCGGGCAGCGTTGTGCACGGCAACGTCAGACGTTCCGTTGAGGCGGGCAATTTGGAGTTCGCTAACTCGATGTGGACCACTAAAACGCAATTTCATTTCAAATTAAGTCCTTCTTCGGCACAAAAGTAACACTACGAGGTTTCTGGACTGCTATTTCAACAATCAACGTCGACTTAGTAGTTGCCTTTAGTGTCCCTTTAACTAAAAGCTGTGCTCTGTACAGCGAGTGCATGTAATCAGTCTTTGCTTGTAAATTTCTTTGTAGAATGTGATGGCTGAATCTCCAGAAGTTGAGTCACCCCCGGAGGCAGACACAAATACTAAGCTCTTGGAACTGAAGGTAAGAAACTGAAATGTCATGAAGATTGAAATGCATTGCATATTTATTTTCATTGCACATTTAAAACCTTCAGAGTGACCTATTTCAAAACAAAATTTTCTCAATTTTTTTTAGTGATGTAGAAGAGGCAAAAAAAAAATTGTCATGGATATAGGTGCATTGTTTATTCATAAATAATAATAATATTAATAATAATAAAACATAGAAAAGAGAAATAGACATAATAATAGATAAGAATGCTCATTACAGTTAACAAGTTTCACAGACTGAAAAATGTGCACACAAGGAAAAAGATCAGGCACGGCAGCATCGTTTGGATATGGTGACATTGTCTGTATGGGTACGAGCCCCCACCTGTGCATTTTCGGATGGTGTTCAAATTTATTAGGTTGAAATGAGCATGTGAAGACGCTGTAATATTTTTCTTTTTAGGAAAGCCTGAATTCATTGAAGACGACCCATCCAAACAGTCTCCTTTGGCGTCTAGCCCTTGCGGCAGCACACGTGTACCATGCGTGTGGGGGCATCGAAGCACTTGCGCAGCTTTGGGTCAGAGTAATTGCAGAAATGCGTTACTACTGGGAAAACAACCTCACTCTACCAAGGTAAGTGCAACTTAGGAGTTATTGCACTGTTCTGTTTCAACATAATAGACACTTACATGCTAACGATGCTTTGACCATAGCAATATCTGTGGCACTTTTAATCATTAGAGCTGGACTGATTGCAATGGTGCAGATCTCTGGAGTCTGGTGCCTATTGCATTGGTACTGTACTTGTGTATATTTTTTGTCCTTTATTGAGATATTAGCTCCGTATGTTTTGTTCATAAATATAATCATCAGTTTTCCAAGAAATGTTTCCAAAGTTTTCAGAAATCATTAAAATGCTATATCTGTTCGCTGCCTTCACAGTTGCTTTTTTGTAGTGGCAGGCAACTTAAGATGGTTAAAGACATCATTTGGGACAGTAATTAAGAAAGTTAATTACATTTTTTATTAGTAGAGTTTGGCAGTTTTGTCAAATGGGAGAGTTAAAGTTCTTCATGCAAAGAACCTATTGCAGCTTTGAGATTTCAAAAAAAGCCACGTATAGCAATTATTGTGGTGTAATAAAACCTAAAGGAATTCAATGGCAAAATCGAAGCCAATCCTCTGATGGGCGCACTAAGCAGATGGCCATAATGACGTCGCTGTTCAAGACAGTGATTACACAAGTGTAGTTATTCAGCATTTCTTAATGTATGTGCACCAGGTGTGCTATAATTGCATGTACAGTTCACTCACCCACACAATGAAGTTGCTGGATAGTTAGTACAATGACACTCACTCATTCTGGGCCTCTCAGAAGAATGCGGCAGTTGCACTTCTGTGTACTGGTTTTATTAGTGAATTTGGTTGAATGTTATTACTTTGCAATTATTTCCAGAAACCGTTTTTTCGAGCTCGAAGCTGCAATGGGTTTTTTGCATGAAGAACTCAAATTCTCCTATTTGGCATAACTGCCTAAGTTTTCCAATTGAAATTGTAATTAACTTAGCTTTCTTAAATGTCTTTAACGTCCCAAAGATGCTTGCCTCTACAGAAAAAGAAACTGTAATTGTACTGAACAAATATAGCATTTTTCCTGATTTCTGAGGATTTCGGACACATCTCTTGGAAACACCTGGAATTCATATGAACACATATGTGTGCACACCCATGTGTGCATTCATAAGTGCAGGGTTTGACAAGCATTCAACTTTTAGGTGGGATGGTTAAATAGGCAAAAGCATGGGCTGCACACATGTGCGCATATGGTAAAGGCTTGGTTATGTCTGATTAAGCAAAATAGGTGAGAAATACTTAATTCTAACTTTACCCTGATTAGGGCTCCACTGAGCATTTATTCCACTTATCACAAACAAATGTTGAATTTCAACTCATTCTTCACCTTGTTTCTTTGAAAGGTTGGTTTGTATAGCCAACTGATAATGTATGTGTGCTATATGTATTGTGACCGGTGTACTTTTAAACAAAATAGTTCTAATGTTACTATGAATTAGTATTTTGTTCTAAATTAATGGAATAATCAATGTCAAAGACAGCTTTAAACTAAAACTCTTATCTCAGTGGTGATCCACTGCGTCTATTGCACTATTTTGCCACACTTTCATATCCCTGCACTTTGTTGTGCACATTTGAGTACCGCTTGCGCCAACAGTGCCAAAGTTTATTACTCTCCACCTGTTTTCTCGGCATTGGATCAATTATGGCCCAAAAATATTCTTTGTTTGGCAGCAAACACAGCTAGAGCTTTTCAATAATGCTGCTAATGCTGTCGTCTCACTTTATCCCAGCGATTAATTTTTGTCATTACTTCCCAACCTAAGCAAAGTCTACACCACCGGGTGTGTTTTCGTTGTTGAAAGTTTAGCATGCCGGCAATAGTCTAGTATTTTATTTGTTTGGGAACTGGCGATAACACTTAGCAAAGTGAATTTTGTTTCGTTGGTGAGTCACTTTGTGTACCATAATGTAGCCACCGGGGCCAAGCGACAGCAGCTATCAGCACTGTGTGCTGTAAACGGCGTCTTCACGTCAATGAAGATTCAGCCCTGAGAAAGTTGTTTGATATGTACGTATTTTGCAATGATAACTTCCTCTGAATTGAGCTGTGCAGCGTACTTCGGTATGGATGTTGTAAACCTAAACCTAAACTCCCATGTAGAGCACGTTTAGCAATGGGGGGGGGGGGGGGGGGGGGGCGACGGAGCGGAGTGTTTTTTAAAGGAGGAAATGAAGAAAAAACATGGTTCATTCCTTTGTCATAGGAATCGGTAAAACACAAAAGTAAAACATGCCCTTACAGAAGTAGTTTACCCTTTACTGTACATTTATTCAAGAGAGCTTGCACAATATCTATTGGTACACTGCTTAACGTGGAGGCATCCTTGTTTACTTATTCATAATAGTGATTAAACAAATCCTTGTGGTCAAAGTGCTTGTGGTAGCTGTAGTAGTTAATGGTGAGAGGGGAACTAGAGAAAGCGATGTGACAGCCAGAAAAGCGTGACTAATAGGATGCCAAACTTGGGCTAATGTCACTTACTCACATCATGTTGGAGTTATTGGACACCACTGCCCGATCACCCAACCAGAAGGGAATGCAGCGCACGTTGTTTCTTCCCTTTGGCCAGCCGCAATTCTTTGAGGGGCAAGCATGAGTGAAGAACGTGTAAAACCAGAGGGCGGTGCAGAGATATTTTTGTATGGATGGATGCTATGAGCGAAGGTGACACTTAGGGTAAGGTCAGCATCTGGAGGTGTGTCAAGGCGTTGATGAAATTGCACTTTTCCTATTGGAAACACGCCAAATGAGACGGATGCTTAGAAATGATGCGTTGAAGAAACTAATTGCGGATGCCACAGTCACGTTGCATTATTGCATATTACCAACAATGCTGTGATGGGATAGTGGTAGATATAAATGGCATATTTTTTAAAGCATACGAAGTATGTGACCGTGGCACAATTGATAGCATGCCCGGCAGCTGTTGTCGCGAACTCAGAGGTCATGAATTCGACTGCCGTCGATGGAACTTTTTTTTTGTTATCTTCTGATCATACGTATTTTCTTTAAGTCATTTCCGTCACGGAAGTGCGTCACTGAAGTCTTGGTGAACCCCGGCATAAAGCACTTTCGTGTTAAAAGTTAACCCCGCAGCTGAATGCATTCAAGTGCGACACCTCAGCAGCGGTTCACAAGGGATGAGATAAGGAGGGAATAAAAGAGATAAGAAAAGTGAAGATTAAGAGATGGTTTTGAGAAGTTTGCGGAAGGGGCCCCGCTCGCCGATGGAAGCCTCGTCTTTTGAATAGGTCGGCAAAAACTTCCGAGCTCACTCGGACTCACTCATAAGATGTATCTTGCACTTCGAATTCACTCCGACTTACCAAAATTTTCCTGAGCTGAGACTCACCTGGACTCACACTGACGAAAATTTTCTTCAACCAGATTCATTTGAACTCAAACTCACTAAAATATTACTCACCCAGACTCACTCAAACTGACAGCTCGATCTGAGTCTGAGCGAGTCTCAGTGAGTCAACTCATGAGCCTGTCAGCCGAGAATCACCTTTTTTGACCATGGTGTCACTGCTTTTTAACACCACTATCTCACGTAACTGGTGCTGTTCTTGGTACCCTTTGATATAGTGCCTTTGAGTACGAGCTATGAGTGCTTGCAAACCTGCAAGGACTTTTTTCTTAAGAGATGACAACATGAGATATATTTATCAAGAACTTCTCTGAAAGAGTTCATGGGGCCGCGCTGCAGTGGTCTAGTGGCTGAGGTACTCAGTCGCTGACCCGCAGGTCGCGGGATCGAATCACGGCTGCGACAACTGCATTTTCGCTGGTGACAAAAATGCTGCAGGCTGGTGTGCTCAGATTTGGGTGCACTTTAAAGAACCCCTCGTGGTTGAAATTTCCGAAGCTGTCCACTATGGCATCTCTCATAATCATATGGTGGTTTTGGGACGTTAAACCCCACGTATCAATCAATCAAAAGAGTTGGTGGGAGAAGGGGGAGCCAAGGCACCTCTTTAATTAATTTATGTGACTTACCAATAAATAATTGAATTGCATATGAATTATACTACTTCAAAATGAGTATGAGTAGACGCGAGTATACATGTGAATCCAGGCAGGGCTGATAGTAATGCTGAAAATGAGTATTTGTAGGTCGGCATAAACAGGAAGAACTTACTCAGAATCACTCAATAAATATTACTACGAAGCGCTATTGGAGATGATGAGGAAGACAGCAAAGTGGAAGACGATGTTGCTTGATAATCGTGTGGACTTGGCTCTGCTTTGTATGCCTGGCTAGGTGTCTGTATAAATACCTTGTAAATACATTCTGCAATGTCTTTTCTCTTTATAACAATATCTTGTGATTTGGACTCGCTTGGATTCAGGCTCACTAAATTCACGAAACTTTTCTTCCACCGTACTCACTCGGACTCAAATTCACCAAAATATTACTCTCCAGACTCACTCAGGCTCAAACTCTTGGCTCGATCTGAGTCTGAGTGAGTCCGAGTGAGTTGACTCATGAGTGAGCTTGCCACCCTATGCATCAAAGAGACGACATTGCGGACGAGCCAACCAAGCCGTGAAATTCACCACCGAGCCTCTCTGTCTAGCACCACTGCTCGCGCGTCCATGCTAGCTACCATACCCATGCGTTCGTTGCACGTGTTGATTGTGAAACTGGCGTAACACTATGTTTAGCCAGCCCACATAGAAACTGAGCCGCCCAGTGATTCATAGATAAAAAACACTGTCACGCATTCTGAACGCTATATGAATAATAAATGTTGTCATCATTTAACAATAAACATCAATTAAGTTGCCTCGCTTGCAAATATGCCCTACTGATTACCTTCCAATAGGTAATTTATTAACAATGATTACCTTCCACTAGTTTGGAACTACACTTGCGAGCGTGCTCAGCGCAGCCTTTTTTTTTTTTTTGCAAATTGCACATTAGCGAACTATGAGCGATGCTGCCGTGAGCATTTCTCGCTGTTCATGGACTACCTAACTACGCCGTGCGGTGGCTTAAGTCCAAAGCACAGTGTGAGACTGTAAATTAATGAGGAAGTAACCGGATGTAGTCGCATTAGTCTTCAGTGATTGCGGAACCCTACAATATCTTTGCCGCTCCCCATCTTAGAACCACTGTCAATGGCTGATTCAAGAGGTGACCGGAGGGGGGGGGGGGTAAAGAAGGGGGGTATTTGGCCGGGTATGCCTCACCCTCCCCCAAAAGTACTGGTGGCACTCCTTCCACCTAACCAGCAGTGGGTAGCCTTCTGCCATCTGGCATGCTCGTGGGCCACCATATTTATTCCTTAACCCTCTAAGTAGCACGGGACTTCACACCAGTTGAACCTTGACATCATGTTAATGGGAGAAAATTGTGAACGCAGGGTGTCATTAAAGCCAATGTTCCTGCAAGCAGAGTTGTCTTCCTGAAGGCTGCAAGGAAATAAAGCATCCCTCTCCTCTATTTTTGTATTGGCCACCGCACCCCCCCCCCCCCCCCGCCTTTTTCTACCAGTTCATTTCGTAAGTTTAATTTTTATAGCGAAAATTGTTATGCAATCACAATATTGGTCGCATGTGCTGTAGTTGACCGCTGCCAGTGTCGGTAACCACTATTGCACATAAGTGAGAAAAAAAAAAACTAGGAGAATAATAACATCAAGGTCACGATAAGATTCAAACCCGGGTCCCCTGCATGCCAGCCCAGTGTTCTAACACTGAGCTACATTGGTGCTTGAAACTCCGATGGAAACTGACCTTAGGCTGGCTTGATGTCGGGAAAGAAATTGCATTGATATTAGTAAGAAATTGTTTTAGAACAGCCAACGAACAATCGGGTGTCAAACAATGCGAATAGCATACTGAGTGGGTTGTCGAATGCTCCAACCCATTACTAAAGCGTCAGGCATAATTTGTCATCGTCCTCAGCCACTACAGCTTCAAAAAATTGCACAAAATTTCTTGCAAGTGTGTAGCAGGTATTATGCTTCTTCGAAGAATGATGAGGGATAGCATGGCGAATGCCTCCCTACTACACAAAAGTTATGGTTTATGGTATAGTGGGTATCCTGCATGTGCGCTTATAGCAGTTGCTCAAGGAGTGTATGAAGAAGGCTCTGTAAGTCTGCTCTTCCAGCTTTCGCTGTGACTGCACTGCACATTGCGCGCAGGCCTGGCTGTTTTTTAGAAGACTTTCTGAACATGTGGAAGACTGGAAGCAAGTGCTCAATTCCAAGTGCTCGAAACTGAAAGGAGAATGTCGCTGTGCACGCACGCCTCTATTGTTGAATAATGATGGAGCATCCATAGTAAGTTGGGGTGTGCAAATATTCAATGCACTATCTGCACAGGCAGTGCAAAACAGGGTGTTCTCATTTGCAACAACTTTTCATCGTACTGCTGGTTTCCTGGTGAAGATTTTTTTTTCTTTTGACCCCATGATACCCATTATTCGCACAAACTGTATGGGCCATGCTTGCCTTGTCACTAATCGCTCCACTTCAACGCATATCTTGTACTTTACAGTGTAGTCAGAATGTGACTTTTTGGTGCCAAGAACTTTATTAATGGTTGCTTTCTGCATGTTGGCATTGGCTGCTCGTTTCCGCTGCGGCAGCATTTCCTGTATGAACACTAATATGGATATTCACTAAAATTTTAGACATGGTCTGCTCCAAGTAATCCTAAGTTCTGTTTTGGCTGCTCCATACATGCTCCAAGACACAGTTTCTCCTGCTCTAAATCTGCTCCAAAACATACTTTTTCCTGTGCCAAAAACTGCTTCAAGTTCTAAACTGGCTCGACCACCACTAATATCTGAGAAATTTTCAAGTGGTCAGATGCAGTGTGTTGCAAAAAATGATCCTCGCTACCATGCTCAAGGTGTACCTTGAAGGTTCAAGCATGCTGTCCAACTTACCATGCCTACCATGTTCACATATGCATCTGAGTAGGGACTGTAGTGTTGTTGTATGACGAACGTGTTAGATTATCTTGATGTAGTCAAACTGCTATGAATACTTTATATAATTGCATTTGGTCTGAGCTCTGTCAATACATGTAATTTTCTCAGGATTGTGGGCGCTGCTGTATACACACAAGCACTCATCTGTGCTGTGTCTTGAAGTTGCACCAAATGCTGTTGAAGCTAGGTAACTTTTCGGGGACCACAATAACTTTATTGTGGCAGTAACTTTACGGTAATAAAACTGTGTTAACATCAGTTCGAACCAAATTGAAGAAGTAGTTCATGAAAGATTGACTTATGAATGTCACAATATTCTGACGGATTTTTTTCCTTCTCAGAAGTGAGCTGCCAAGAAAATTCATTGTTGCCAGTGTGTTGAGAAGCATGAAAACTTTTTATAAAACCTCCCTGTGAACTGCTAAACATTCTTACTGGTTCACAACACTGCACTGCTTTGAGGGGCCAAATATGTGGATTTGGGGGTGGCTGCTTTGTGTAGATAATGCTGTGTTACAAACGATCCATTACAATATTGATAAAGATTGTATGCTTGAAGTTATGGATTTGCAAGTGATAGTTAGTAAAGTGGAATTATCTGTCTTTCTTTTCTCTCTCTATCTTATCTGTTTGTAGAAAATTTCTTGCCTATTAAATAGTGTGCCTGAAAATAGCTAGATTTAAGTAGCATTGCTAAGTGTTTAGACAGGCTAGGTGCAACTTTTATAATGTCTAAAAAATGGGTAGGACACTATAAAGTGGCACGTTCAACAACTTTGCAATATACACGCCTCTCCTCAAGTAAATAATCAAGGAGTTAGTGGGTTCCTTTTAATTCATCGCAACAATGTCATTATAACTTTGGCCAAGTATTTCTGCCTCGACGTGGGGTTCGTGTGCAACAATTACAGGAGCCTTACTTCATAGGATTTTTATTTAAAAATTTGTATTGTCTGAAAAAAGCATCATGTGCATATGTGTGCATGCATCCGTGCATGTGTTATAACCTGCTAACCGTTACAACTGTGCCATTCTTTACTCTTGTTGTGGAGCTGAATTATAGCCACAAAATCCAATATATTGCTCTTATTGAAAGTTTTTTTTTCTATTCATCTCACTTTATAGCAGGTAGATATATTGAAGGACAAAATTATGGTGGCACATGTCGGATATGTATGAAAGTTAGTGCTTACAATGCCAAATAATCATGAAAACACTGTAAAAAAGAATTATTTGCTTTGTACAACTTTGAAGGCAGAAATTTCTTGAACGCAAGAAATTTTTATTATGCATTTATTTACAAAACACAAAGTTCTGGTGACATAGCTGAAAAATGAAAGAAGAATGGAATGGAATCGCATTTTTCTTTTTTTGCCAGAAAGAGGTTTCCACACTTGAAAAGCTGATTAAAGGTATCACTCAGCTAAACTAGTAATTTGTGGCATTTTACAGCTTTTTTGTTTATGATGGGTTAGCGTGCACATCGTGCTAATTTCATTCTAAAATCATCTTGTGCATATAAAAATGTTGCAATGAACGTGATTCCATCTTTCCTATTTGTATTTTCCTCTGAGAGAGGAGTGGCTTTTTGCATTGTAGAAGCTTTCTTCAAGCTTTCTTTTGGAATTAATCATTAGCACACCAAAAACTACAATGTACCTAGGATTAAACACTGCCATAAAAGCATAATCAAAGAAATGCTACAACATGTTTTAGAAATACCATGTGTGACTTGACTTCATGCGCTTCTGCTTCATTACTAACAATGTTTTTTCTCTCATCAGACCGTTGGCATAAAAATTAGGCGAAATCTGTCTTGACAGCAACTTTACAATTGCCTCTATCGTTTGATAAAGTAAAGGCATTCGACAAGTTTTAAATAGTTCCCTACTAATTTTAACCAGCAAATGTAAAACGTGTTTTAATAATTGATTGAAGAAATTTCAATGTGGTAAGTGTAAGGAACTGGACCAGATTGGAAACATTTGATCATAGATTTTTTTTTTTTTTAAAGTAGATCAGTGATTGGCAACAATTGATCATGGATTTTTTTTTTTTTTCAAAGTAGATCTATGCTACTTTCACAGATTCCTGAAGTACATTTCATGAAAGGTGGTACAATCCATAATAGTGCTTGTTTTGCACTATCTTCATGACAGCAAATGAAGCTCTTCGACTGTGTTGGAAAAGTATATTGTTCAGGCACCAGAAATTCTGTACAGGATGAATAATGAGGTTTTTTATAAATGAAAATGCATGATAAAAGCATTGATTGGTACACGGTAATCACCATAAGAGTATTAACTAGCTATCTGCATTTGCAACACACAACTGTACATATATTCAATTATGATATGCGTTATTTCAGCATCTGTTGCGACAATCTACTGTTGAATTTTGTCATATTTAAATTAATGATTCAGACTGACATGAGGAGAAGGGATTGTTAAGTGGGCAGTTTCAATCTTGAAAATAAATGTATTTTGAGGCATAACTTGTGATCGTTCCTGCTCATTATCTATAACGGCTTATGGTCATTTCTGTTTATTATCTGTATTGGCTTATCAACAATATAAAAATCTCTCAGTGACTGCATGATGAAATTGACAGTTGTGAAACATTTTAGCAAATGTGACTTATCTTCTTTTCTGGCCCTTCCAACCACTCTGCATAAAGAAACACGTCAACAATACATTATTTTCTTTTTTTGCTTTTGTTACTTGTATTGTGTGTGAGTCACAAGGCAATGGCCAAGCTAAACAGCATTTCTATTTGTGTAATGTATAAAGCATAGTCCTTTTTGAACATACTGCTCAGCAGTGTGAACATAGTAGGTTGTGCATGTCTGCACTCCTGAGTTCACTGTAGCTTTACACTAAACGACAAAAAGTCTCGAGCACTCTGATAGTTCAGCCACGTAGCTCCAGAGCACAGTTGCAGAAGTTCTTCAGCGATACTCCCGTTTTTTTGGCACTTCACTGTCAACATTTCATACAGGCAGAAAAGTTGCGGTTGCAATGAACAGCCATTATGGAGCACCACTAAAGACAAGTGCTGTCTGGCATGACAGAAAATCATGCTTACACGCTGACATAGACACCTTGCACTAGTGGTGCTGTGTGAGCACTCTGATGCCATTGCTGCACAACAAATTAGGGCAAGTGTCCTACCGGTGGTGGTACTTGCTGTGCGAAGGTGCCACATGACTCTGCCCTACGTATATGTCCACTTCATTGTCCTTCCAGTTTTCTGTCCGGGCATTCCAGTCCGAGTCATACTCGTTGAGCGAGTGCATAGAACTGGCCGATGCAAGCCGGCCATTGTGCAGCACTCTCTTTTTGCCATTGGCAAGTGGTCGCGTTGTTGGACCTACGTGAGCATCAAGAAAAGAATGGGTTCCTGACAAAGCTGATAAGGACTGCTGTGACTTGCGGACTTCTGGGTTGCCAAGACCACGATACTTGTTCGACATTTGAGAATAGGACCTGTGAGACTGGCCATCAGCTGTAGAACGGGCCTTTGAGGAGTAGCCATTGGGCATGTGCGAGAAATGGGAAATGTGGGAGCGATTGTCATCCATGACAAAGCTCTGATTTACAGATCCATTGGCATTATCCATGTGATACATGCGTGCTCGAGGAATACTCCGGCTGCTGTACATAGACACGGTCTCCCACTCATCTGTTGGCTTGATGGTTGGGTGTACAGTAGATGTTGGCAATGGCAGACGAGATTTGTGACCACTGCTACGACTTTGCTTCTTGCGCCAGCAACAAAGAAAGATGATGACAGCCAGTATGATGATGCCACACACAGCTGCTGAAGATGCAATGATGATTTTGTCTAAATGGGCAATTACGTAGCGCTCTAGCTTGAGCTCTTTGCACCGGGAGGGTAGGATGTCGTCTATACCAATGTCTTGTGCATCTTGCAGGTTTACAATGCACACCACAAGGCACTCATTTGTTGGCAGATTTTGCATTGTGTACTTCCTCTGATCTGGCCGGAGTGTAGGCCCATGGCGATAAATCTTCTCTCCAAAGAGTCGATAAACTACTTGGAAACCTAAAGGAGACTCTCCATCACTTTGCCACTCAATAGTGACTGCCGAATCTTTTCTCTGAGCATTCAAAATATATGGAACTAACAGAACTTTAGTGGATGGTGCCTGAGTGTCTTGATTCCTTGGGGATGATAGTAGTGGACGAACGTGCTTGTTGCTGGCTTGTCTTTGAGATGGAGCTGGTGCATCAGTTTGCTCTGGAGCATATGTGACGACATCAGCTGCTGACTCGCTCAATGATACAAATGGCTCCCTGAAGGTGGTGGTTTCTGCAACAACCAGTTCATTTAGGTGAACACTTGTTGGTTCAGGAGCTGTAGTTGTAGTGATTGCTGGTGCCACTGAAGGTGTCGTCATAGTACTAGTAGTGGTTGTAGTTGTCATCATTATAGTGGTGCTTGGTGTGGTAGGAGGTCTTGTGGTGGTTGGCATCACAGGCTTACTTTCAGTAGTTGTCGTAGGAACTGTTGTTGTCATCATTGTAGTTGTTGTTGGGGGTGGTGTTGTAGTTGAAACATTGCATATAAACTCTGAAGGCTCAATTTTTGCAAATGTGCGTCGCTTGAGGTGGTCGGGCTTTCCACAGTATTGAGGGTTTCGTTCACGACTTGTTACTTGGAGGTCTTTGTTCGCAATCCACTCTGCAATCCACCTTATCCGGCAGTCACACTCAAGGTAGGGTCCTGGAAAGTAATAAAAAAAAATGGTGTAAAAAAGTAGATAGTCTTGAAATTTTTCTCACCCTCATCTAATTTGTGATGTAGCAGGAAGGCCATAACATGTTTACTTTGAGAAAAGATGGAATTGAAGAGCAGAAGAGACATTCTGTGCATGTTTCCTTGTCATTAATTAAAGGTTCTTTCTAACAAACTAAAATACAAGTTGACTTCATCTTATGCATCCCATGAGGAAATACTAGCCTATGTGAAATGAGAAATATATGCAATTTTTAAAGTTTTTTAATTGGACAAAAGCGTGCTTTATAGAAGTTTCTCTGGTTTCTATGTATAGGTTGCTTTTGGGTCACTTCACGCGTAGTGTCCCAGTCACGGCGGTAGAAAAAAATGGGCTTTCTAAAAAGATATGAGAAAACTACACACATATACACCATTTTCCAAAATGCGTTCAAGCGCCGCCATCTGGGACTGATATTGTTGCAGTTTAGTATTCGTATTAAATAAATAAACAGTGCTACGGTGAACTCACATGCACGAAATCGCTTTGCCGGTGCATTCAAGGTGTTATGACTCTGATCATTTGTTATTGTGACATAGAAAACCTACAAAAGAAACGCTTATCAGTTCAAGATGGTGGTGCCTACGAGTCAAAAATAAAATCCTGTATAGAGATTGCTTCTACAGTATATTTCTCAAATAATTTGAGCAACAAAGATTTTTTTCGGCACGTGAGCACCATTTGAACTTCACGAAATAGTCAAAAACAAGGTATGAAAAAAAAATCGCAAATAGTCTATTTTTTTCAGGTGGTCTGTCAACACTTGTTTTCTTACGTCTTTCAAGCATTGTGATTTCATGATAGTTTCTTATAGTAGCTTTATATTTTTTACTACTAAGTACATAGGTAAAGGTGAGTAAACTAGAACGTTTATGCGAATTTTCTTACAAAAGACTATTATGGATTATATGCACAAATTATTTTTATAGGCCCCTTTATAAAACTTAATATCTGCTAAACTTTTTGTTTTGTGTGTGTGATATAGGCTATAAAATAAAATTCTGAACTTGGCAAAAAAACTACTTTGACCCCCTCAGGTTGCGAAGGACGTTTGACAAACGTCCTTAGCACCCTGAGGGGGTCAAAAAAAAAAGATGACGAAGAAGAAAAGGACATACAATTGAGAATCATAACAACCTTGTCCAGAGAAAGTCAAGTCAAAGTAGTTTTCATTTTAGTTGAGAAAAAAAAAACTTTGTCCCACCATTGCATTGTTTTAGTATGGGGGCAATACAAACCAACTGAATTTGCTGCATAAAAAATAGGTGTAGTATATTCATAGCACATGGTTTTCAGTTTCCTTTGTTAGTGCTTCACATTGTTCATTACACATCAAGGTGTGATGAACAGAGGTAAAAATACAAAAATGCTGTTGGCTTAAATGCCATGATACCTTCAATGAGGAAGCAAAATATTTAGGAGTTAAGAAGTCTTATGAAGAGTTCTGTAAAAATAATTGGTACATTTCATCAACAATTGATGATTTGTATTGTTGATGAAATGTAAAAAATTCTGTTGTAAAAATGTAAGAATTCGAAAGTCTTGTAAAAAAAAATTCTCAAAAACCCTACAACTTACTCGCATTGTGGTTATAAGAAGAAGAGAAAAGTGAGCCCCGTAACTGTCTGCATCAGCGTGCGACACCTCAACAGTAGCTCACAAGGGATGGGGGTGAGGAGGGATTAAAAGGATAGGATTAGGGTATAGAAAGAGAGAGATGCGCTGGGACAGTGAGCGACGACATAAGAGAGATAGGAAAGATGGAAACACGGTCACAGGAGTCCGAAAACGGGGCACCACTTGTGAGAACTTACTCAACTGCAGATACGTGCTGAGGCGTACAAAAAAGTAAAAGCTATGTCAAGGGACTGACTTACAATAAAATCATGATACTCAAAAAATGCAAAAAGCAGCAATGCTGGGACTGGTTTATCTGCTGCAACTTTTTTTTAAACCCGGTTTTTCAATATTTCGCAAGACTCAAGTGACACTCACATGCCCAAAAATTTTTTTCCACTCAAAGCTATTTTGGAAAAATACCGTGGAAATAATGCATATGTGTATGGCATTTTGTCAAACTTTTTCAGAGCAATTGATTTTTGTCAAGCTCCACGACTGGGACAGTTGGCGTGGAATGACCATTCATAAGGCTCTTTCCGGTACTAAAGTTTTGTGCACAGGCAAATGTGCTGTGTATGCTTTGTTTCCGTAAATGATGGAGCCTTACAACCTGGTGTTGTGAATGATACAACAATGTAAAGCAACTGTATCTTTTCCAAGTGTTATGAATTGCATCTATGCAAATGGTGGTACACATAACTGGCAAAATAATTTTAGTTTTGGCTTGTTGGCAGGGTACTAATTAGCTTTCGGTATTGTTGAATACTGGAAACCGATGAAGACTGAATGAACGGCCGTACATTGCTAAAGCTGTTTCTAGCCATTCAGACAGTACAATGACAAAATATAAGGTGTGCATGCCATTTGGACAATACATATAGCCATGCTTAGCAGCTTTGTTAACAATATGGCTGAAATTATAACTGCAGCAGCAGAAATACCTTAACTGAATGATGCAATTCTGAGTGGGACAGTAAACTAAGAGTTGACTTGTGGATGTTCATGTTTAGGGGTAAAAAAAGGTAATAGTCGTGAATATTTAGCTACTACACATAATATTCTAGCGCTTTGTTCTTTATTTTCATATCTTGTGCTTCTTTATGAATGAAGTAGTTGAATGTCAACACCAAAGTGCTGACATTCAAAGTGCTTTGTCTCTCATTTGATTATGCTGCTTAACATTCTTCACGATATTTTCACATTGAGAGTGGTTAAAGTGAGTGGTATTAGTGTTCCTCATTTGCTGAAGGAAGACATATTTATGTGGCATAAAGGGGCACAACACCAGCATTTAAAGACGACAAAACAGTTACCAAGCAAAATGAAGAAAATTTTACATAATGACAAGCTTCAAACACAAAATCTATCTTCACAGGGATCTTCACAATCAAAATTTTTGCAATGATTGTTCTTGACCAGACGAGATTTTGTTGCTTTTGTCTTGCTGCTAGTACATGTTGGCCTCCATGTTTTTATAATGTGGCTCATAGTCCTGAGTGTACTGCACAGTTGCCTTTTTGGCATGGCAGGTGTGTGCCACTGATGCTGAATGGTGGAAGTGTAAATGCAGGTCTCCTTAGATAATGATACAGTTTACCTGGTTAGCATGCCACCAAAATGTTAAATTGGTCAAGTATTCTTGCATTCTTTGATTCAGTAATTTTTGTGTAACATAGGTGTTTTGGAGATATATTTTTTTTGTCGCAATCATACTAAGCTTATTACATATTTATTTGAATGACCCAATGGATGTGTGCATCAAAATGTTTGTGCACATTAAAATTTCTATGTGGTGCAAGGTTACCAGTAGACTGTGACGTGCAATAACTTTAATATGTAAAACATTCAGTTCAGATAAGTTCATGTAATACAAAGCTGATCTATTACATTTTACTGTTACACAAAGAGACAAGACGTGCATACAGTATGAGTACTTACCTCCAATACTGATTCCCCTGAGAGTAGTGTTGAGGTGTCGGAAAGGTTCTAGTGGTATAGTTGCCATGGGATTTCCATCAAGTGCCAGGAGTGTGAGGAAAGGGTTGTTTGCAAAGGCATCATCTGGTAGGTTCCGAATTCCATTGAACCCCAGGTCAAGAACCTAAGCAGATTCAAGGATATTGTCTGTTAAATTTGTAGACACAAAAAGTGGACACACACTCACGCAGACAGACAGACAGACAGAGAGAGAGAGAGACAGACAGACAGAGGGTTGGCAATGTATACTATATTGTTTAAAAAGAAATGAACAGGATCTGGTACAAAAATACAGTCACAGGGCTTCGTACGCATTTCCCTAAGATGACACGATAGTGAAAGCCATCATCATCATCATGATCGTAGCCTGAAAGGACACGAGTTTTGTACCGCACGTCGCGTTTTCAAAGCCAGCATCTTTGTTGATGGTGTGGCTGATTGGTTGACAGTGTCCAACCACTTGCACGTTATTGAATTCCCATCCATGGTGGGACGCCTGGTGCAATGGCCAGGCTTGATGGCCGTATCGTGCTTTGGCGTGGATCTGTGGTAGAATATTCGACTGCCATGCAGAATATGTGGGTTTAGTTCTGTCGAGAACCCTTATTTTTATTATGTGGTTTTTAGTAAGGTCATTTAAGTTTCTTTACTGCACGCTGCATCTTAAAGGCCAGTTTCTGGCGAGGTTAAGTTATATAGCAACAGAAAATAGGTGACGAATATAAATGAAGTCTTACCGGCATTTCATGTAGGGCCTAGTGCATGTATGGTAGTCATTTTTTCAAAATAATTAATGTACCTAACATCTAAAACTAGCCTGTGCCAATAGTGCAGAGTTCTAATTTTTCAGATGTATTGCCCAAAGCAGTAGAAGTTACTTGCACGAGAAATTAAAACTTTAACTAATTTACTTTTTAACTAATCTTTGGCATATTGTAGTTTACAAATTGTGTCTCAGCCAAGGACAAGCTTAGTAATAAACAAAAGTTATCGTGGTGAAGTGGGTTTACGAAGATGCTACCAACGGCGTTCTGTTAGTGGTAGCCTCGTACATACTGTTATCAACATCGAATAATTAAGAAAAATTAACCGCATAAATATTTAATAATTGCTTCCACAATTGTGGTATCTGGAAAGCTTAATTCGACATTGCAATCGAAAACATTATGAAAAAAGATTTGAAGCCTGTGCGCACAAGCGAGAGAGAGAGAGAAAGCCAGCGCTCGTTGCGGCTCAGGCGCGATGTGCGGCCGCACGTTCGTTCGTGCCAGGAATTTTAAGCGAAAGTAATTAGGAATAATGTAACGGCGCGAAATATTTTAGCGTGATGTTTTCGAACGCTATGCGAAGTGTTTTATAGCGATCTTTGCAATTAATCAAGTGAGGCAATTAATTTTAATTGATTATATGGACAATTTACGTCTGTTTACAGTGAACTATATAGTTCACTATAGTCTGTTCTCGTGTGCATCATGCAATGGGCGCTAAACAAAAAAATGTCTTGGGGGGAACCTACCATACCTGGGTAGACCGATGTAGGCTGCTGCTGAACAGTTCGGGCTTCCGGCGTTCTTCAGCGGTTAACCTCTCTGCCTTCTACCTTTATTAATTTCGATTTGTATTAATTATCACTTCTCAAATACTTTCTACCTTTTTCAACTCTTCATAAACGTTGCAAAGCCGCGAAAAAACCCCCTTTGTGACATGCCGATCACGTGCAGTCAGTCTCAGAATGATGTAGACGAGAGCGTGCCGGATAGAGGCATTCCAGTGACCCTGTGCCGGAGTGGTGGTCCGCGCCGCCTACTGCCGATCCACCTGTTGTCAAGAGCCTTGCTTTGGTGAATATGCGGCTGTTTACCTTTCTAGGCCATTGATCGTGTCCACCAGGTGCTCGCACGTTATCACAATCTTGACGCGACCGAATAGGTGCTACCGCTTCTGACGCTCCTTGCACAGAACTACGACATTCGCTGCCGCGACGTCCTCTAGCGCCAAGATAGTGTTCGTATGCGAGTCCCCAGAGGAAGCGATGACCTGATGTGCCTGCGAGCGCCAAAACCGCGCATCCATACGAGGCGGCTCTATAGAGTAACATTACTATGTTACTCTATGGCGGCTCCAGTATATGACGCTGGCGCGACCGTTTCGACACGGGCTAGCGTGGTCTAGTGTGCATACCGAGATCGCACGTAAGCCAAACCCACGTCTCAGAAAAAAAGACCTCGTCTTCAGAAAAGATTATTGGCGACTGTCGCACACTTTCTAATGACCGCCTTTACTACGCAAGAATCGGGTCATGATGAAACAAGCGCTAAAAATACACACACTCAGAGAGGACACAGACAAGCATCGGGTACTTACATTAAGTAGCCGATTCCTCAGGCAAGATAGTTTAGTTTACGATTCCGTATTTATATTCATCACATACAGTAGTCACTGAAGCACACACTATTCCTTATTCAACATTGTCATTGGTCAAGTGTTGCAATAGATGTTAGGAAATATGGTAATTGTGATTTATTACACTGTGAGAAATGGAAGGTATACGACTTTTGCGCCCATTGCCAATTCTTTCGCAGTTACATTGAAATCAAAATGCGGGTCAAGTGTTCTCTCAATTTTTACCATGTCTCGCAGCGTGCAGGTATTTCCCTTGTGGATAGCAGCATTGCCATCTGCCATTCTACTATCTGGAAAAATTTTCCGCGTTTCGAAAAACGTCTAAAAACTGTAAATATAAGGCTTGGCTTGACTAGCTAACTCACGGCGGGATATAAGCGTGCGCATTTTCGGTGACGATTATACCTGATCGAGATAGAATTTCTCGAGTGATATTGCTCCCTACTGCAAATTGGGCAACGCAACTAATCGCAAAGCATATCGCGATTTAATGCGTCCGTATGACCGATTCGATACACTTTGAAGCAAAGTAATATGCACGCGCGCTGTCAACTACATGTTTTCTGATATTACTTTGTTTGATTGTCAGCAATATGATGCGTCGCGATCACCCGAAGTTAAAAACGTGGCGCACCAAATGCAATATAAAGTGCAATTCATGTTTCAAATACCATCAAACGTACAGAACGTGTGATGAAACCGTCTTTCCACGGATATGAACTTTTCTACCGCACAGAATAAGCCAAACAATCCATGCAGGTGCGTTACAGGATAACTGTGGGTGCGTTACATCTCAGCGTCACCTCTGACACGAATTTGTGTCTTAGTTCATGACAGTATCACGAAGATTCATCGTAAAATTAAACAGAGAAGGCGATGGCTTCAACACGACGACGAACCAAAACACTCCGCCCCCGAGGCACTCGGGGACTTGTGTCCATGCGGTTCCGACAGCTTAGGGAAGCCACGAAGTGCTTACGTTACATGTGGTTATAATACGGTCTTGTCCGGGCCCTTCAGAATGCTATGCATGATTGAAGCACTGTTCTGTGGTAATTACATCACAACTAAAAGTTTTCAAGCATTGATTGATATGTGGGGTTTAACGTTCCAAAACCACCATATGATTATGAGAGACGCCGTAGTGGAGGGCTCCGGAAATTTAGACCACCTGGGGTTCTTTAACGTGCACCCAAATCTGAGCACACGGGCCTACAACATTTCCGCCTCCATCGGAAATGCAGCCGCCGCAGCCGGGATTCGAGCCCGCGCCCTGCGGGTCAGCAGCCGAGTACCTTAGCCACTAGACCACCGCGGCGGGGCAAAAGTTTTCAAGCACGGATGCACATGACGGACCAAAACGTGCCTCTCCTTCAATAGGTTCGAGAGAACTCAAGTTACCATTTCTCCGGAATTCTTGCCCGGCAGATGTGTCTTGAATGCAAGCAAAACGTCGTAACTTGTGCTAGAACTGCAGTATGTTTCAAAAGTATTACTAGAGTTTGTTAAAATAGCTGTACCGTTAAACCACTACCCAACCTTTTGACTAGCCAACACGGGCAAGCGGCGATGTTTGAAGACAACTGGCGCCACCTATGCAAACAAAGCGAAAATGTGGCTGCGCAAAGCTAACGTGCTTTTGCGTACACGCTATAGTAAATTTTGTTCAAGAAATTAAATGAAAACTATTAATCAAAATAAGAGTAATTCTGACTAAAACATGAAGATCAATTCAGCTACATAAATGTTATTAAACATCATTAATAATCGAATAAAATGCAGTTTTTACACATCTCAAACCATTCCGTGTAGCTTGGCTGCTTGTACTAGGACCTCCTCGGAAAACACCTTTACGTTAGCTTTGCGCAGAGGAGGTGTCGTACCCGATGAGGTGTAAACTGAGGGGCGTCTGTTGCTAGTTGAAAACTTTTCCCAGTACCCCGCCTGGACGACGTGAAATACCGTCGGCCATGACAATTTTTGGCAGGTTTTACGGGGCTTCATTGTTGGAACCAAAAATCGGATTTATGTTATTTTACACGTTTAATTTCAGTAGTCTGGGGCGTATAACTAACTAGCTACCGAATGAGGGAAACTTGTCTTTACGTTCTTTGCTGTTCGCTTGTTATTGCCCCTCTTTGCCCACTGACGCCCCGCCGCGGTGGTCTAGTGGCTAAGGTACTCGGCTGCTGACCCGCAGGTCGCGGGATCGAATCCCGGATGCGCCGGCTGCATTTTCTATGGAGGCGAAAATGCTCAGGCCCGTGTGCTCAGATTTGAGTGCATGTTAAAGAACCCCAGGTGGTCGAAATTTCCGGAGCCCTCCACTATGGCGTCTCTCATAATCATATGGTGGTTTTGGGACGTTAAACCCCACATAATCAATCAAATCTTTGCTCACTGACAACGTGTCGGGATCTGAAAAGTTTGACACAAGCACGTGTTGATGTTGCAAGGCTATGCAGCTTACCCGAAGTTCGGTGAGCGTGGCGAGTGCTTGGCCGGGGAACTCGACGAGCAGGTTGTTGAGCAACGAGAGTGAACTGAGAGTGTCGTTGATACCGGCGAATGCGTCTGCGTCGATCTTGACGATGCGGTTGCGCTCCAGGTTTAGTGCGGTGAGCGTGTGCATGCCGCTGAGGTCCTCGGGTGCCAAGCTTGCAATCTTGTTCTGTGCCAGGTCCAGGAAGGCAAGCGAGGTCAGCTGGCTGGCCGCGCGCGGCACGCGCTCCTGGCCGGTGCCCTTGAGGTTGAGGTTCTTGAGCGAGTCCTGGAGGCCGGCGAATGCGTCGTCCGCGATGTTCAACTCGTTGTCGGCTAGCTTTAGCGTGTTCAGAGGCAGGCCGCTGAAAGCCCCGTCGGGCACTTGTCGGATGGCGTTGCTGGACAGGTCCAGCTGGCGGAGTGAGGCCAGGCGTCGCAGGGCCGCCACCGGAACCTCCTCGAGCCGATTGTCGGGTAAGCTGAGGCTGGCCAGGCTGTTCTCGAGACCCTGTAGCGCTCGCTCGGAAACTTGACGCAGCTGGCAGCGCGCCAAATGCAGTGACTGGATGTCCAGCTTGGCGAATGCACCGTCCGGCAGCGCCTCTACGGTGCTGTTGTTGATGTGTAGCAGATCGATGGGCACGTTCTGCGCCGACGCGTGCAGCGCGTTCATCAGTCGCGCGAAGTTCACGGGGCGGCACTGAACGGAGAGGCGCTGTGTGCTGCTGTAGGCGCAGATGCAGTCGGCGTGCAGGTCGACCAAGTCCCGCGACCAAGGGCACTTGGCCAGCGCGCCAGGCAGCGCGACGAGCGCAGCCACGGCGCTCAGCAGCAGCCACATGGCCGCTCAGCCTTGTCTCCTTGGGGGTGTGTTCGGGGGCCCTGCAAAGAATGGAGTGTGTTCACTTGCTTGCCCGTAAATAGCTTCCCGATATACTGCTCGTTCTATTCGTAAACTATATCGCCCCGCCGCGGTGGTCTAGTGGCGAAGGTACTCGGCTGCTGACCCGCAGGTCGCGGGTTTAAATCCCGGCTGCGGCGGCTGCATTTCCGATGGAGGCGGAAATGTCGTAGGCCTGTGTGCTCAGATTTGGGTGCACGTTAAAGAACCCCAGGTGGTCGAAATTTCCGGAGCCCTCCACTACGGCGTCTCTCATAATCATATGGTGGTTTTGGGACGTTAAACCCCACAAATCAATCAATATTCGTAAACTATTTGTTATCCTGCACAAGAAGCTTGCTTCATTGCACTTATTACGTAAGAAACGTGCCAACTTGCGCTGCCCACTCTATAACATTCGTCGATGTGTGAGAGGAAAAATAAACACCAATAAAAAGAACAATAAAAAACGTATAATAATAACGCTGCTCTTCGCAATAAATGTTTACTGGTCGTTCTGCCGCAGCCTTGCCGTCCTTCCGCCTTATGGTGCCCTAAGGAGTTGCCACCTCGTGACACCATCTTTCTCAGTCGCGTGCTTTGAGGACGGGCGGAATATCTGTGAGGCGGCGTTGCCTCGAGAGTCGCATAACAACTCGGGTCGGCTGTCCTTGACACCTGTGCCCGCAGAAAAAAAAAGAAAAAAAAGGTACGGGTCTACGTGGTGGCTTTTGAAATGCTTCGGTACGCTTCTGCCACCTCGCATCCTAGCTCTCCGCCCCGACCACCTGACAGTGACGAAAATACTGTTGGACTTTCTGCTGGACCAGGAACGTGTAAAAATAAGGCCCGGCACCACCTCCTTGTTTCTCGCTCGCCTGAACGTCGCGTTATAAATCCTAAGTCAGTTACAGAGTGCATAGTACAGTACAGGGACAGAATTGGCAAAAAGGCAAATGAATGCCTCACATTAATTCGCTAATGTTGTCAGTGTGAGGCGGGGAAAGGGAGAGAGACTGCTTGCTGATTTATGGCAATGTGAAACCCACCATGGAGGTTATACGCGCGAGCGAATCTCGCACTCGTGAGTGCTCCACTTGAGCTTTTCATTGGCACCGTTACATTGTGCAGAAGCCTGCTTAAAGGTGAACATCTTCGACAGATTTCTGTCTGGCTGGGTGAACTTTCATACTAACAACATAAACTCTCCAGCCAAGTTATAGCCCAAAGATAAAAGTTCGGGACTGTGAACTGACCCGACGTTTCGAGTCAGCCTGTTTGTGAGTGCTCAATTGAATCATGCTTTTTTGTTTTACAAACTGGTTAAAGTTTTACACAACACGCCAAAGTTTAGATTGCTTTTTTCAAGTATCCATTTGCAGTTGCCGTCGCCCTTGAACGCCCGTCCCTTTCCCTAGTTTGGTTATTTGTTTGTGTGCACGCGTGTCTTCAGTCGGAAGGGGTTTGCGCCGCCTCCCTGGCCATGTCCGGTAGACGTTCTGTGACCGAGCAGGAATGCGGTCTTTGGCTCTCCTTTGTGGCAGGGTTCATCGTCTCCCGTCGCTGTGTAGCACTCCCGAGCTGTGGAGCGAGAGTCCGCCGAGGTGCCGGCATCGTACTTTCCGCGGCGGCACCTGGTCGCCCACGCTGACTCGTGCGAGCCGCTGGGTGAAAAGCGTGCTCGGCTTTCTTGTCATTGCGCAGCTTTGTCGACAGATCCGCGGACGCCGGCTAACGACGCCTACCGGCGGCGTCTTAGCAGCGGTACTGAGCTCTGCCTTTTGTGCACCGCGCGGCCTTCCTTCCGCCCACGGTCTTCTGCTGTCTCTTTAAAAGGACAAGGAAGTGCCTGACGTGCCCTCATCGCGTTTGCGGCATTGAATAACTCATGCCTATTACATTCACACTTCCTTCTTGCAAGAACTCGTGCGGAGGCCGCTCCGGGAGTCTGTGTCGGCTGCCTCGGCGCAGACTCCCGTACACAGGAACATCCGTGAGCTGTTTTGCCTTCACATATGTAAACGAGTGATGCTGCTTTTCCACGCTAGCGCATTAATGCGGCACTCGATGCGGTTTTCAATAAATGGTGTCTTCTGCAGACCGCTGACACATTAGTATGCCCAAGCTGTACCTTATCGCTGCTAAGCTTGTTGGGGGCTCTTTTTTTTTTTTTTTTTCAGCGCTGCCGCCCGGCGTCCGAGGACGAATACTATGTCTGTCCTGCCAGTTTTTGTGTGCAGGTTTTTTAGTCGTTTGGCGGAATATACGATCGCGGTGTTTGGAATCCAACTAATACGGCTTATAGTATTTCGTGAATGTTGATGGGCTCTTCTTGTTCTTTCGTATATTGTAGCACGTTTCTCGGCCTTCGAAAAGTCAGCATTGCTGATTAATTTAAGCATATATTAGCCTAAAAGTGCTCTAGCTACGTCTGTCGTTCCCTGTGGTAGTCACGCGAATAACATGGCCGTCAATAGATGCTGCCTTGTGCATGTGCTCGTTCCATCATGGTCTTTCGAACCCGTATTTCGTCGCAGAGCCGGCGTTCCGCTGCCTCGCACTGACTGATTCATAAGCCAATCTGTGAAAGGGAGAAGAAGCACTGCCATCGCGGTGTGGCGCGGCGGCTTTCGCGACATCGCGTGGATTGTTTGATGGACCGCGACCAGCCGGTTCCGTGCGGTCGGCGGATGAAAGCGTCTGCTTGCGCGCCTCGGCCACGCAGGATCGTGGTGCCGTAGTCAGTCACGTTCGAGTTCTGTTGCCGGCATCTGTCAGGTCGAGGTACCTTCGCGTATGTTTGTGGAAACATTTGCGGCCGGTGGGGCTCATTCCGTGCTCCGAGTCAGGAGTGAGGAGATCTTCGGGGGATTTGTGGTTTGTCTTCCGAGCTTACGCGGAAAAAAGAACAAGAAAGTGAGGAGCCATCTTTCATCTTGATTAATGGGTAGCGTAAGTAGTGCTCCTCGAAATCTGTCATGCGGAGAAGCAGCGTGCGCTCGGCCGTCCGATGAAGTTGTGAGGCTTTCTGCAACCCTTGTAGGGTAGCTCGCGGACGCTATTTACCGGCCCGCATGGAAACCATGGTAAGTGGCGGTGTTGAGCCATCTCGCTCGTCTGGCGCAACATTGGACGCGAAAAGTTCTACGGGAGCCCGATGCGCGCAAACATTACTGCCTCTCGCTTGCTGCCTTTTAAGTGCGCTTCAACGCAACCCGGGAACAGAAGTAAGACACAAGCCGCACGTGCGTCCATTATGCAATCGCGTTGCTATTGCGCGGCCCCAGCCTGTGCTGCCAAGTTCCACTTTGCCTTCCCGCGTCCCCAGGCGACGCCTGTGATTTGCAGCCAGAATCAAGTACAGTATAGGCGTGGCCCCTTGGGGCCCTCGGAAACCGCGTAATATCACTGCATGTAACCGTAACGAGGTGCGCTGCCTCAACTCGTTGAGCAAGTGCAGCTTTGTTCTTCTTTACTAAAACGGATGGCCTTTTGCGAGCCTTTGTTTTCTGTGTGTGCTCTTCTTAAAGAAGTGCGCGCTGAGTGGTTTGTGTGTCTCACGCGTGTACCTTCGATGAAATCGAGCCGCATTTGGAAAGAGTCAAGTAAAAGGCGATATTTGTTGTAGGGCTGGTTTCTCTCTTTCTCTCTCTTATTTTTTATGTCTGTCTCAGCGATGTATGTATATGCCAGGCGCGGCTCAATGCGCGATTCTTGCTCGACGATTCGGCGTTTTCCCAACATGACGGCGAAACGTCGCTCTATTGGGGTAGGGGGGCATATAGGTTCCTTCGAGCTATGTCGAGTCGCATTTTTGGGAGCGTCAGAACGCGGTCTGGTTCGATTAGCGTGCCTGCGCAGGAACGTGTCAAGCACGGCTTCGTTCGAACTGCCGCGTGTTCGTCGCGGTCGAACGACCGCAGCAGCACTCGTGTGGGTCGTTCGGCGACGCGGTCTCTTGTCGTCGGCTTTTGGTCGCCTCCCGAGCCCCATTAGTCGAGGTACATGCGGGGCAGCAGTGAGCGCGTGGCTCGGACGCCGCCAACTAGGCGCTCCGGTGGCCCTGTGCGCTCGACCGCATGCAGGCAGGCCACCGCACACCGGATGCCGCCTTCCGAGGCGTTCGGTCGCTGGCACGTTCGTGAACAGCACCTTGGTGGGTGATAATCACAGGCAAAACTGTTGTTGGGCGGGTATCGCCGAAACGCAGCCTCCGTCCGCTCAACGAGGCGTGGGCGACCCTTGGCGGACTCCTCGTAACGATTCGAAGTAAAATCGGAAATCGCGTCTGCGATGCACGATCGAGTGTGCAGAGCTTTGCAACCTACGAAGGTGCCGTTTCTTCATCTGAGCGGAACTTGTCTGAATATGCAGGTATACGCATATGAAGGAGGCGCTACGCTGTCTTGTGCGTCACCGCAGTTTTTTGTTTTTTTTTTCGTCCGACAAGTTCGAGGCGACGATGTCACGCGTGACCGCCTGTTCCACGGCCATGTTTCCGGGGGGTATTTTCCTCTCGGTGGGTGCGGCGGTTGCATCTGTGGCGCATCTCGAGTCTCTGGGGCACGCGTTTCGCGGCAGCGCTGTTGGCGGCGTGGCGCCTGCAGGCGAGATGGGCCACGAGAATCTCCATACGCATTCGTCATGCGACGGTTGGCGTGGTTGCGGTTTTTCCGAGGTTTTGCAGACGAGATATAGAACAACAACAACAAAAAAAGATAGCAAAGTTTTAGCGAAACGCCACTGTGGCTCGACTGCCTTTTCCCGCGAGAGTGCGACCTCATACGCTGCTGTCATGTACCTGCATTAGGGGGTATGTCCGGATGTCCTGACCCTACGCGCCCCGCCCAATTGAGAGAAAAAAAAAAAGAGAAGGAAGGAAAGAAAGAAAGGGATTCGTGTGCCTAGCTGCTGTTCAGAAATAAGACGCGCATCCGCAGCAGCGGGAGACGGCGCAGAGAGGCACTGATTTGTCTCGGATG